CATGGTGAGCAGCATCAGTATGTGGACGAGGGCCAAGTTACCGGTGAGCAGGTCGTGGGGCTTTGGCCTGTGACCCAGAAAGAGGGTGAGGATGCGGGAGAAGAGGAGGAAGGTATTGGCTGTGAGACCAATACCAGCTTGCCAAAAAAAGGGCATTTTTTAATGCTAACATAAGTGAAAAGTGATTGTTTTAATGTCACCATGAAAATATTTTTCATATCTGGAAAAAAGTAACATATATCATTAATTTGTTTTTATTCAGTAGTATATTTACACATTACTATTATTTTTACTTCACCTAATTATTATTATTATTATTTTATTGTAAGTTTCTATGTCATGAAAAAATTTCAGGGGTTTTAATAACCCTGAGTTTTTAATAGACCTGGTTGTCACATATAAATTATTGATAATGTAGCCTTAGTAATATTTTCCATACAAAATAACACACACATGTGTGTATGTTTATATAATTTATATATCATGTATATATTATATACATATCCCACCAACATGTCCAATTTTGCCTCAATATAGTGCCAACTATGTGTCCCTCTATCTCACTTGGGTCCCTGTATAGAAAATATTTCTTTATTCTTCCGTATTCTGTCATTTAACATTTAGACCCTGAAGACTGATGAGCAAGTAAGACTACTCAATATTATTTATAAAGCTTAACTGAATGAAATTTTATGCTGATGAGAAAAGACTCAAACAATAAATTCAGCAATAATTCCAGTTGCATCTTACAGGATATAACCTTCACAACTTCTATTTTCATCTCTCCTTCATTTCTATGGAAATCTATGCTTGTCCCCTCCCCCATGATAATTCAGAAGATCTTCCTCTTTTGTATAAGAAGATTATTACCAAGGTGGATTTTATTTGCAATCTCATTTCTCTTTTCCATAAGATCTAACATATTCCCAGTTACTGGAGAGTTAGGATGTATTGTTGAGGGGAGACATTAGTTCACTTACCACAAGTCCTTTTAATGGTATTTCCTCAAGATGTCCCTCTCTTCATTCAGTTTCCAATGCAGAGATATCACATGTAGACTCACTTCATCTTAGGAGTGGATTGGTAAAATCCAGCTCTCAATTATCAGAACAAGAACTACATTTATCCATTATATGACATCCATAGAGGTGCATCAGAATAGTCACATAATATGTAACCAAAGTGTTTGTGCTCCCATAATATTCTGAAATTACAGATGAGAATAATCACATAGTCATCCTTTCATTGAAACTTTACTTCTTGTACAGGCAGCCTCCCATGCCAGAAAAGTATTTAGGTTTTCAATATTAGATACTTTCCTTCAAATTTTTATCAGGATATCACCAAAATCATAACACTTCATAAAATTTCACTAGATAATTTTGCAAGTATTATCTCATGATATTTGTCCTGGTTGCAGGCATCATTACTTTATGAAATTAGCTGAATACACAGCCCAGAAGACTTCAAGTGTATGAGAGGAAAAAGTGGGAAACAACCAGCATCAGTCAGATTCCTCTGGGATGGACATGGAAGAGTGTTGCATCATGTTTCCAAGGACACTTCTAACCATAGCAGCCCGGAAATGTGAATGTGTATGACAAGGCAGAAACGCTGATGGTTTGTTTTATTGGCTCAGACTCGATGTCCGTAACTGAAGCAGAACACTGCTCCAAGACTCATGATATGTAGGAGTTTATAAAGGAGAGATTGCTCACTTGATTTAATAGTTGCTACCCTTTCTCCAAAAGCTGAAACTAGCAAAATGGCACATGTGTCTCAACCTCCAGAACCAACTGAACAAACGATAGTCACCACCAACATACACCTGCGAATTCAGCATCACTGCCCTGTGGATGTAAAACAGTATTTGTGCGTGGACTACTAGTATATAAAGAATTATGTATTAACTGTATATCGGAGAAATGTTATTCATAGACGACATGTTTTATAAGTCAGAACCAAAATGACAAATAATTTTATACAATGTGAGAGAGAATAATTTTAATATTTTCTTCCTTTACAGCATGGGATATCTGGCTCTCTCCCCCAAGTCTATGCCGCTCACCCTGTAAATGGCCACCACATACTGAAAAAGAACAGATCTTCTGGGCTGTCAAGTGATGCCTTACTCTCTGCCATGCATTTGTGTTGATAGGTGAGGTATAATCATCTGTACTAAAACTTTTCAAAAGTTGTCTCGACTGCCAGCATAAAACAAATGACATTTGGTACTAAGGTACATCTTCTCCAAGAAAAGGCATTTGTTGATGATTCAAATTATAATCTTTGCCCTGTGCGCTGTATTTTTACTTCATGAATCTGAAATCCCCACCATGGAAGAATCCTGGGATTGACAATGGTACGGTGCCATCCTGGGAGCAAGAGAATAGAAGCAAATCCACAGGGGTCACCTACAGATGGGTCAGAGTGCCAAAGAGAAGTGGGCCCTCACTGATACATTAATAGTTTAGTAATTAGAATTTACATCTCAGCACTCGCTGTGAGAAGTGGCAACCAGAGATCCGCTGGGGCTGAGGGTGAAGCCAGTGACCAGATGGTGCAGAGAAAGTGCAGCCTCACTGCACTGGCTCTCACCTTACACTGTCCTCACTGTCACAGCCCAAGGTATAGACACAACGACACAGTCATAGGTAAGGGAGGAGAAAATACTGGCATTAAATTCAACAGGACCAAGAGACTGACTGATCATAAAGTCTGGATTTAGGTCACACAGCTGAGGTAAAAACAAAGATTGAACTGAAATGAAGACTTTTATAAGAACATAAGTACTATTTCACATATGAACATACTGTTCTGCATAATGTGAAGCTTGGTAAAAATTTTTGTCTTTATCTTTTTAATAAGAAATTTTAGAGTTGTGTGACATACACATGTTTTTATTTGAAGACAGACCATTGCACTTTGCTTCATGCAGATTTAGGAACATAATCCATGTAATGCAAATCCTGTGTTTGTTGTCTTAATTTAAGGAGCCCTTTTCTCCATCAATTTCATCACCCTCTGTAAACAGCACTGTCAATCCTATGACCAGACACACCCTGCAAAAGGTGACTATGAAAACTGCAGGTGACAAGGCGAGGGAGTCTGCTGGTTTAGTGGCAGTGGTTGCCAACATGAGAAACACAGCTGACAACCCTAAGAAAAGAGATCAGCTTTTTCACCAAAATAGCTCTGTAAAAAAACTTTGTGCAATGTACGACTACCAAAATAGTAAGCAGGATGAGCATCAGACCCCACTGGGTAGCAGCGATCCATTCTCTACTCTCCGGCTGCTGAACTTAGCCTGGGTGAGGCCGGAAGCCCAACCCTGCTGACTCCACACTGCTCAGGGCCTCCAACCCTCAGCTCCCTGCAGAAAAGCCGAGGCAGGGACAGTGTCATCACAGGTATGGGGACATAGAAACACCGGAAGGGCTTGATAAAGAGTCCTGTGTAGACATTTGGAGAAATCCTAAAATTCCTCCTATAGGTACTGTGTTTCTTTCTGACCACCATAGCCTACAAGATATCAGCAAAATATAACACTCCCTTTTTATTTTTTGGGGTTTTCTATTTCTTTGTTTTGTTTTCTTTGTGTGTTTTGTTTTCTTTTTCTTTTTTCCATCATGTTCCTGTGCATCACAGTAACGTGGCAAGGAGATTCATTCAACTGTGCCAAACATTGCATTTGGAGAGAAAAATCCGATTTGGAATTTAGAGGAAAGAGTTCTCTGTTCTCACACATCCAGATTAGGATCATTTGTGCTCTGTCCCCACTGACATTTGCCTCCGTAAATATATGAAATCCAGAGGCTTTAGGATCAAACAAAGTTAAATGTTTACGATATTTAGAGACATACAGGTTTTCTGGCATTCAAGTTCCTTCAGGGTTTGATATCCTCATGTGCCACAAGTGAAAAATACCTATTTTTTTTTCTGTTTCATCTTTTCTTATTCCATTCTCTCTGCCTTACCTTCATAAAAGTATATGCTAAAATATACTATTCATATCTTTGTACTGAACTCAAATTGCTTATGAATCTAAATGCCAAAATTAAAATATGTAAATATAAGTTTTAAGAAACTACAATTTGAAATTTTCAGAGGGAACAACAGAAACAAAAATTTAAAGGATATTTTTAATAATTGGATGCCATGTCTTTAAAAAGTAAAAATGTATCTGTAATTATCTGTAATTAATCTGTTTTAGAATAAAGAGAATGATAATAGGAAAAAAAAACAACGTAAAAATGATTATTCTCTCATTACTAAACAATCTTATCTAAACCCATATACAAAAATGGTATAAGAATTTAATTTACTTCAAAGACATAAAATACTGACACTGAGTTTATTTTATGAAAGTATTTAAAGCATGCATAAATTTATCAGATTACTTCATGTGAAATATTCATTAACTCTACCAAGATTTGATAAATAGCAGAAGGTGATATTTGTACACAGCTTCTTGGTAACCTCCCCAAAATTTCATTGTGACAGAATAAAACAAAATAAAATCTTTCTGTTACACTCATAAAATATAAATAATACAAAATGGCAAAATCATCTACTTTTATGATATTATAATTTTAAGCACTTATCCAATATTATAAGTATAGTAAGGTGTCTTTAAACCTAAAAGAAAAAGAAGTATGAGTAAGTCACTTTGAATCTGTTCAGTTTTCCTGCATTACAAAAGGTAAATTTTCACATAATTAAATGCAGCAAGTTCAACTGGTAAAAATTAGTAAATAAGAGGTTCAAACACAATTCCAGTTCAAGTACATCACAAAACTATGAAAGTTCTTTAAAAATTCTGTAATTTAATGGCCTTGTTAGATCTATAAAGCTGATCTTTCATTTGGAAATGTCTATTAGATTCAGTCACAATTCATGGAGATGTGACTGAAATTACAAGGAGAGACTCTTCCAGCTCTTCACTGAGACAATCCTGCCTCCTCCCCCCCGTCCTCCCCCAGGTCTTGAGCTCTCACTGCTACTGAAGCAGAGAGACACACACTCACCCAGGTGAGTCTGCCGCGGGAGTCTGTGCCTGAGACGGGCCAAGACATGGTTATGAGGAAGGGGCGCCACCAGCTCCTCTCCCCCAAGGCCGCGATTGTCATGTCACCTTTGGAGTCAGGACGGCCCTCGTCTTGGGACTGCTGGAAAGGGGAGCCCACAGGGAAACTGAACTCCTAATTCCTGGAAAACAGCAGGTGAGGAACAGCTGGGCTGCAAACTTCCCCTGTGAGCTCCTTGTCCTGATCACCAGCCTGGTGGGTTGGGAGTCTCCAGCTCACCCTGATGCAAACACGAGTAGATGCCCCTCCCAGTTCTCAGTGTGTCCCCACCAGGGCAGGGGATTCCCGGTGGTCTTCACACGTGCCCTCAGTGACCTCTGGCTGTCAGGGTCAACACTAGATGACAAACACCTTTGAAAGTATAAGGACGACACCACCTCTGCCAAAGGGCCTGGTCCTCCAGGGACACAGGGCACTGCCATGGGGGGCAGAAGGCAGGAGCAACGTCAGCTAGGCCTGGAGTTGCCTTCATCTTGCTTAAATTATGAATATAGCAAAATTTTAGGCTGGGCGCAGTGGCTCATGCCTGTATTCCTTGCACTGTGGGAACCGAGGAATGTAGATCACTCAAGGTCAGGAGTTCGAAACCAACCTGAGCAAGAGGAAGACCCCATCTCTACTAAAAATAGAAAGAAATTAATTAGCCAACTATCTATATATAGAAAAATTAACCGGGCTTGGTGGCGCATGCCTGTAGTCCCACCTACTCGGGAGGCTGAGGCAGGAGGACGCTTGAGCCCAGGAGTTTGAGGTTCCTGTGAGCTAGGCTGATGCCACAGCACTCTAGCCCGGGCAACAGAGGGAGACTCTGTCTCAGAAAAACACAAAAAACGAAAATATTTAACTTGGTTCATTTCTGGTAAATAATTATGTTGGACAAATATAAAAGTTAACCGCAACCAATCCCAAATAGCCACCAGCATGTGGCTATGTGACTTGGGAATTTCTAAACAAGACAACAGGGACAGGAATGTGCAGGAAAGGTGCCGTGCACGGGACCTCCATGACCAACATTGGGAACTGCTCTTCTGTCCTGGAAGGGAGGATGATTGAGCCCAAATAAGGGGCTTTAGGACAAGAGTCTTTAGTAAAATTCGGCCTTTGCTCACAGTCTTCACTCTGAATCCAGAAGCTCAGGTGACTGATCCTCGCTGCTGATGTTACCCAGGAGGGAGGTTTCACTCTGGATTTGGAGGGAAGGAAAACGTGCTTGTTCCTCTTAGACATACTTGTCTGTTACCAATTTTAAAAAGTATTTTCTTTCTCAGTTGTGTGTTATATTAATATTTTTTGAAAATAATATTTTATAAATAACCCTTCATTATGGCATAATTGAAGCACAATGAAGTGGACATACCAAGAGTCTCACATTTAAAGTGTGCGATCGGATGTGCTGTGCAGTGTGTGTACATCCATGAATCCACCTCCACAATCAAGATGGTGATTGTATTCGTTACCCCAGAAGTTTCCTCACACCTCTTGGTAATCCCAGCCTCCTGCCTCTCCCTGCCCGCCCCATCCCCAAGGAACCATCGATCTGCTTTTCATCCCATAGATTAGTGTGCAGAAGTGTATTATTTGAAGCAGGCCAGTGAGGAGATCAGCTGCTTCTCCCCACGGAGCCAAGTCCCTAAGATAGGGGTCGCCATAGAAGATAAGCAAATTGATAGGCAACAGAGAGAAATACAAGAATACACAGAGGCTAAGGTATAGTGTGTGTATATATATATATATATCTCAGATACAACACAGCAGGAAGTTCCTAGGGGACTGCTGGATCTCCACAACCACCAGCAATATGGTTAGATTCATATAGGTTTTTATAATCACAGACATCAATTACTGGTTGTCAGGGTAACATATTTGCATATCAGGGAATGCAGTTGCTAGGGGATAGAAGTAGTTGGTTAGCGACAAAAGTCCTCTCAATAGGCTTCTAATCTAACCAGGTGAACAAACAGGTAGAAACTCTTTTAGGGGCTAGCTTCTAATTTCTAAGAGGTAGTTGTCAATTAACAAAGGTATAACAAAGGAGGTATAGTGACTCTATATATTTCTTTGACTAGTTATGGTGAACTTAAAGGCAGACAGACAGGAGAGAGCAGGAAGCCCATCTCTATAAAACAGGTTGTTTATAACCACCGGGGTGCATTTCTGGGCAAAGGGCACTCATTGTCTCCGGCTCCCATCCTGTGGGCCATATTTGCCTTGTCTTTCAAGACATAGGGAGGCTCACAGGTCTTGAAATATTGGGAAGCTGTCTTGGAAAACATGCCCACCGGAGATTTGAGAGCTCTCCCATGATAGCAGCCTCTACTAAGTGAAACATTGAATCCACATATTCCTTCTGGGCAAAACCCTGAAAACCCTTGTTTCTGTCTTTAATATAGTAATATAGCGTTATACAATAAAATAATGGTCTTGTGAGCTACATCTCATTAATTCCTCAATCACATTTTCCCAAAAGATTAGTTTGTATTTTCCAAATTTGTCACTATATGGAATCATACAGGATGTACTTTTTGAATGCCCTCTTCTAATCAACATAGTTACTGAGACGCACTCATGTTGCAAATATCAGTAGTTCCTTTACTTAAATATTATTCCATGGAATGGGCGCCCCACAAATTATGATTCAAATACTGGAGGATGTTTGTCTTGTTTCCAGTTTTGGGGTATTACAAATAAAGTTACTATGAAAAGTAAAAATAAATAAGTAAATAGGCATCTCCAACCTTTTGTCTTCAGAGGACTAAAGCTCTTTTGCTTAGCTGTTTCCCAAACCATGAAGTGTTATTTACCCAAATAAACTGTTTAAATCTTTATTGTGCCTCAGATTTTTGTTTAACAAAAATGTTAGTAAAGTTCCTCCATTTGAAAGCAAGTGACCCCAGAGAGTGAATTGAAAGCACAGAGAACACAAAGATCAGGGAGAAAGAGCCTTGTAGTTATAAAAGACAGCAGGAATACTTAGTTGGTTTCTTTTATTTTATTTTTACACTCTGCTTTACTTTTATGTTTTTACATTCTTAGTAATTAAAAGCAAAATGCACACTATGACATATTTTAGAACAGCCACTCCACACTCACGTGCACAGTCACGTGGCCGTCAGCCACCACTGCGGACTCATGCCTGCCCTCCTGTCATCACAGGTGCTCAACACACACCTCATGGTGCTTTCCATAGGGGTCACCTTTTTTCCTTATTACAGCTGTATTTTCCCCAATCCTTGATGTACATGTCTTAAATTATAATGAATTTCTGATAACCTTTAAACATTTAATTTAGACCCAGATGCATGAAGATTACAAGGTAAATACAGAACCATCCTATCATAGTCCCTCCCCTGACAAATCGCACTATCAAATATCATGGAAATTAACTAAAATGCTAGAACTTGCTTAATACAAAATTTAACCTTAGCGTTTATGGGTTGTTTTATGTGAAAATGTAAAAACAAACACAACAGCGTATTTCAATGATGTACCTGTATGCAAATTATTTCACCTGTTTTGCTTATATGTGCTGTGGATTTTTCCTGATGTAAAGACTGATTTCATTTCAATTTACTCTCTATCTCTGCACTAAAAACTGCAGAAATCCAGCTTTAAAATACCATACTGGTTTAAGCTCTCAAGATAAAAAAAAAAAAAAGAAGTATCCAGTTCCACTGGTCTGACTTTGCCCAGGTTCTTGGTTAGTTTTTCAAAGAACCAACTTTTTGTTTTATTAATCTCCTGAATAGCTTCCCTGTTTTCAATTTCATTTAGTTCTGAGTTGATCTTGTTGATTTCACTTCTTCTGCTGGGTTTGGGGTTGGTCTGTTCTTCTTTTTCCAGCTCTTTGAATCGTTTCATTAGATTGTCTATTTGTGATCTTTTGTCTTTTGCTTATAAGGCATTTATGGAGATAAACTTCCTCTCATAACTGCTTTAGCTGTGTCCAAGGAGTTGATAACTTGTCTCTCATTGTCATTTTCTTCATAGAATTTTTTATATTCCATCTTGATTTCTCTATTTATGAAGTAATCATTTAGAGGAGGTTGTAATTCCCGTTTTGTGTAGAAATGTTGAGTTCTGTTAGGGTGATTTCTACTTTTATTCCACTGTGATCTGAAGGGACATGGTATGATTTCTATTTTTTAAATTTCTTGAGACATACTTTGTGTCCTAGGATATGGTCAATCTTAGAGAATGTCCGTGAGCTGATCAGAGAACGTATATTTCAGTGGATTTGGGTAGAATGTTCTGTAATGTCGTCAGACCCATTGTTCTAGAGTTTTGTTTATCCTTTTTCTATTATTTTCTGTTTGGAGGATCTGTCTCGTGCCGTCAGTGGGGTGTTGAAATCTCCGGTGATTATGGAGTTGCTATTAATCCATTTTCTTAGCTCCAGTAAGGTTTGCTTTATGAATCTGGGTGCACCTAAGTTGGGTGCATATATATTTAAAATTTTTATCTCTTCTTGTTGAAGTATGCCCTTCACCATTATATAATGACCCTATTTGTCTTTCACTACTTTTGTTGGTTTAAAAACTAAATCGTCTGAAATGAGAACTGCCACACCAGCCTTCTTTTGGCTTCTATTTGCTTGGATATTGATCTCCACCTTTTATTTTAGTCTATATGCATCCTTGCAGGTTAGATGTGTTTCCTGAAGACAGCATATACTTAGCCTGTATTTTCTTATCCATTCAGCCAGCCTATGTCTCGTGAGTGGAGAGTTTAGCCATTCATATTGATTGAGAGAACTGATAGGTAAGGTAGATTACTGTTCATTCTGTTGGTTGGATGTTGGTTGCTGATTTCGTCTTGAGCCATTGTAATGTCTGCTTTAATATCTTTGGGTTTTGGTGTTTATATTTGTGGGATTATTATGATGTTCCGTGCATAACGCTGTTTAAGTACTCTTGTAGGGCTGGTCTTGTCTTGGTGATTCTCTGAGCCTTTGCTTGTCTGAGATTGTCTTTATTTCTCCTTCATATACGAAGTTATTTTGCAGAGGAATAATATTCTAGGCTGGGCATT